ACAAGCGTATATTACAACTCATATGCTATTTACAGGCCAGCTTCCTAGATGAGTGGACAGAAGGGACCCCGTTAGAAGTAGGAAGACGAAGACTACTATAACGAAAGCGCCTATGGGATTTCGGTCTAACTAAGGATTTTGGTCCTCAAAGTGCACTGACCTTTGAAGGCCGAAAGGATTAGCGCTACGCAAAAAACGCCTGAAGCTGCAGCTTCAGGCTTTTCGCGGTAGGGCAGCTACCACTGAGCGGTGGCCTCAAAGTTCACTGAACTTTGAGAGCCTGGGCCCTGGAGCGAAGATTCTCGCGCCTCCTCGCCAAGAAAGAAGGGTCTGCCGCGTCTTCTCTTCAAAGAACCAGGCGCGTGGAACAGTTCTGGGAGATCGAGACTCCGCTTGCGGCAGTAGGAACCAGAGCAGACAGAGACAAAATTGCTCCGGTACAAATGCGCAAACTTCATCTCCGCTGCCTTCTATCAAGAGACGTGGAGCAAAGAATACTGCAAGTTCGAAGAAAGAGATGGGTCACTTCAGTCTCCGATATACTGAGTGCGGGGTCGGTATCTAGTACAAAGGGCAGATCCGCTAGAATGTTGTGGGCCGGTCGTGGTTCAAGGTCTGCATTACTAATCATTTTGAGGCAGCACGACTGGACTATAAATATATACAGTGGGAGTTCTTAATAAACGAAAACTTAGATGTGTGAGGTAGAAGCGATTACCAGTTAATAGATATAGTATACTTAGTAACTACTTAGTTAAAACAAGCAACTCACATTTATGATTTATCTACTTAATTCAAATCCTCGGATCATCATACATATCGCTAACAGTGTGCAGGTGAACCATGATCACAATCGAGACAAATCAATGTTCAGGGTTCTATAATTGTTCCAATTCTGCTTCTTGACTGCCGTGGTGGAGCTATTTTCGGCTAAAATTTTCACTTTCTACATCAGCGGAAGTTTCAGGACAAAAAGACTTAACTTCCTCTATCGCTTCTGTGATGAATAGCCTTTCGGCGGCAAGTAGGAAATCAACGATCTTTTGCCATGCTGAAGTCGGGTTTGTGAATGTCTGCCCAATCCTTTGGCCGGCCTTCCTGACAAAATCACCTGTCGCTGTCAAGCCGACGGCGTGCAATGCATCACTGAGCCACCTGTTAGCAACTTGGTTTCGCCTTTGGTTCGTCTGTAGTAGAGATAGAGAATTTTCAAAAAACTCTACGTCGTCTGTGAAGCTGTGGTTTGTGACATTTCCCCTAAAATGCTGAGCAGGCCGTGGACCCCGAGCACCGTGATGTAGTAGATGTCGTTCTCGAGGATGAGGGATCAAGGTAGTTGATGCTGATATACGTTGTTCCATGTTGGTAGTTGATGTTGTATTTTCAGAAGGTTGTACAGCATCTTGTTGATCTTCTTGTTCTTGTCCCACCATTGTAGTAGCGTCACTGGTCTGTATGGGATGTTGTTCAGGAAGCACAACAACACCTTCTTGCTCTTGTTCAACCATCGTAGAAGTAGCGTCACTGATCTGTATGGGATGTTGTTCAGGAAGCACAACAACATCTTGATCTTCTTGGTCTTCTTGTTCAGCCATCGCATTAGTGGCAGTTCTACCCATCCGCACATCAGTTCTTTCCACCCGAAAGGCGACTACCGAGAGAAGCTGAAGACTCATCAAAGGCAGCATCAAGATGCCACAGACAGTGGCAGGCGAGTAGTTCTTGCTGGAGGTGAAATTAGAGGATCTTCATGCTGTGTTCTTCTAGTACTACTCACCTCGACGGTTACGGTTACGCTTGTATTTGATATCGTTCTTAGCTTTGGTGTGCTATTTTTGATCTTGATATCACATGATCATCTTTTATCCGGCTTACTACTCATCTTCTAGAAGTACTGCAGTTACCACGATGACTAGCAACCAATATCAAATGAACGTAAGCCTTCTATTTCATAACACCAACCATAGTGCTTTTCCCAAGAACCCAACAGGCGTACAACAGAAATAGCGACGAAAGTCGCATTCCTTTTCCGCTGTTGCCACCTGGACCTCTTAACGAGGTCTGGTCTTTTGTCTCCACACAACGCACCATCTTCATGATCGATGAAGAAGATGGCGCTTTTCCTCGTCTTTCATCTCTAGTGTTGTTGATGTTGTTGTCTCCTATAAACGTTACTACACTTGTTTGCTGCAGTGGTCTTCGTCATCAAGTTACCAAGAAGAACATCTATTTTAATTTGTTGTAAAATTTATTTCGTCGAAATTGTGAAAGTCGAAGTAGATGCAATTGCAATCAACATGGGGAAAGAAAAATGAGGTTGAAGAAAATTCAAGGGCGGGGTCCCTCAAATCTGCATTGTTTTTTCGATTTAAAAAGAGGACCAGATGAATTGTCATCTCTTTATCACACACAAACACAAATGCTGAAGATACAACAACGAATATCATTCACTTGAAATCACGATAGAATTAGAAATTGCTACAACGATCTTCAAATAAACTTAGAGTTAGATGACAAGACTGGCTTCACAGGTATAAGCGGATGAAGAGTGTACTTCTATGTATTATTAGACTGACTCGAGTACTCTCTTCTCACACTTAAAAACCGAAGGTTGGTCAAACAGAATAATGGAGGTCCTCGCCTCACCGACACTTACTTCGTTCTTGTAGACACAGAGAGGACATATTATCCATAGTCTGCATTTCGCTTTACTATACGACATGCTAACCCTTTTCCAGAATTACGATAACTTAAGTTGATCGCGATTCTTAGCGACGTCCGCATATGCAAGCGAAGGGGCGTACTCGTTAGTGCCGCCCCTTCTGCTTCCGGCCTTCTTGGACGTGCGTGTAGCTACTGCATATCAAGTGTTCGCTTCACCTCGGTGCATGCGCGTTAGCTGTTGTCGCGCATCTTTTTTGAAGACAAGCAGACGCAAGCATGATTGTGTCACGCTCTTCAGGATTATGTATTCAACGTCTCAGGGAATAGTGGTTATTGAAGCACGACTCAAAGGAACTCGTACTAGGCTTCTGCGGGTTGCCGCGCGATGGATCCGAAACAAGACTTCTAAACTATATATGAATCAGGGCCGCACGCCCCCCCTCCCCCCCTGTGGTCTGGTCTGTGGTGGCGCGCCCGCGCGCTTTTTCGCGCGGATTTTTCGCGGATTCTAAGGGTTGGAGGCGTCAAAACTTGGCGCGGGCCTCCCCTTGGGCCTCTCAGCGTGTTCCGAAGGGGCCGCCTGGCTGGCCTCTGCTGACCTCTGGGGTAAAAGGCCGCCGGAGGCGCCCACGGTCGCAAGAGCAAGCAAGCGGATGACCAAGGGCCCGGCGGGTACAGGCGGCACGGCTCAGGGGGTCCAGCCCCTCGCCCTTTGCCGTCTTCGGAGGCCTTCCGTTGCCGGTGCACTGTTGCGGCGGCGAAGCCTAACGGATGCACTGAGGGCACAGGCAGGCACCTGGACGGGGGCGCAGGCGATCCCTTGGGCCCCTTTTGAAGCCTCCCGCCACCATCGAGGGCCCCTCAAGTCTGTAGGGTACATGCAAACGAGTAGGGGGCAGCCCCTTGGCCCCCTTTTGAGGCCTTCCGCCCCCGGCAGACGCCTCCAAAAGGGGGATAGGGCGCCCGGCCCCCCCCCTCCCCCCTGCCGCTAGGGGGGGAGGGGGGGGGCGTCGCCCCGCGCCCTGGAACATATATAAGCACACACCGTGAAGGTGATCACGCTCACGCCCAGTAGATGAAGAAGCCGCCATGGCTCAACATTGTCGAACAGTACTGATCCTCACAGGAAACGGAGGCCGAGGTCAACAGCGAGGGTGAAAAACCGTCGCGGCCGCGCATTTGCTTTTGACTTTTAGTCTCCCAGTGCCGATTATGTACATTTGTTCCCACGCCAATCACTTTCTCAAGTTCAAGACTAGGCAGGCAACCTTTTCAATCCATGCGCAGTCGTGCCTCTAGCTTCTCAAATAATAGATACATCGAATTTCTACAACGGAAACAGATCATGTGGCGCAAAAGTTGTCCCTGTGTTGTCCTTGATCTTGCCGCGATGATCTTACTGCAGCACGCCGAGCAACTGCGTGCAGCAGCAGCAGGCAGAAAAATTACTTACAATTTATTATAAATATCCCATATTTTTCTTGCGGGTAGACGTAGAGCCGACTTCTTCTTGCAGCTAATATTAAGTTTAGCAAGTCAATCTTACATATTATTCAAAAAAACGATCGTTCCACACTTAGTCTCTTCTCGCTACTAGTACGTAGTATCGAAATCCAGTAAATAAGTCCTGGTTTATATTCTGATGCCAATTTACAACTTCATCTTGCAGCGGCAGTGATGGTTAGTTTAAGTACCTATACTCTTGCGGTGGCTTTTTTTCCGTTGATAGGATCCTGTGCATCAGCTAGATTTATCCTGGTATCATCTACTTACATTTATTTCTTTCGTCCTGTATTCGTCGAAGAGTCTTTACAGTGTCAGCCAACATACCGCCAGGACACGTGGACGGTAATATTTTTACACTATTATTAGTACTAGAGGCTAAGCACAACTAAGAGTCCACTTGTTGTTCTTACAGCAGAGCTCTGCTCGAAGTGCCACGATGTGTAGCAGTGTGGGATGAATTATGGGTGATAGGCATGCATTATTCTGGGAAGATATAACTATGGGTGATGTGTCTGCATGATTAGTATCATGATTTTCCAAACCCTAAAAGATGCTCCACTTGACGGTCTATTTGGTATGCTTGTTGCAGTTTCATTTCAATACTCAGCATCCTCGCGAATTTGGTAGTCGCCTAAACTGATCCTACATCACGAAACATCAAATGAACGAAGGTGAGGCCCAGTTTCGTTTTATCGGTCCTGCAGTAAAGTTTTCTAGATCATCTGTCTGTAGTGCCCGTTGTCACCTGGCCTCAGCGCCCCGAGGTTACGACCTGAACTCAACGTCGATCAGGACGAAGCCTTCGATCCCAAACCCTCCCAGTCCCACGACCCAGACGAAACTTTAGATCCCAAACTCCCCCAGTCCCACGATCCAGACGAAGCTTCAGGTTCAGAAGATTCCAAACTCGTCGTATCGGTCGATGATGTCGTGTCACCTGTATCGGTCGACGCTGCCGAAGGCCTGGAGTTCGAGCGTTGCAAAGATTTCCGCTTTTCTTCGGCTTGATCAACGCCGTCCACCAGAGTCCTCAGCCTCTCAACAATTTTCTCGTTGAAGAATTCTAAACTCTTAGAGTGTCACGTCGCCATCTTTCTAAGTTAGTATTTCTGATACATAAAAAACAGTTTGTTTGGAAGGGCTACACGCTAGAGGTAAAAACGAGCCGGTACATAGATAAAAAACTGTGTATGGATTTCCCAAATGTAGTTGACAGGAGAGCTATTAGCAAGATACTGGCCAGGCCTAGTTCTAGTTGTCCGGATTCCGGAAACAAATAAATGATATAATACGACGAAGGGCCTAGAGGTAATAAACTATCACTATGATAAAGTAGCACAAGCATTAAACAATTGGGGAGCACCAAGGTGGACCAGTATCTTACAGCCTGAGTATTATAATTGTTCTTTTATATTGCAAATAATATCTACGAACGATCTCCGAATCATCGAGGGATCTCCGATGAACCATCGATGAGTATTATAAGCAAAAAACTACAGCGAAAAGTCACCATGCGTAAACATCTCGCTTTTTTTGGCTAGCCACCCGTCAATGTTGCCGACCCCGTTGTCTCCAAAAATGTGCTCCTGCAGCGCTTCTGCGGTGTTCCTCAGGATTTTCGAGTCTCTAAACGCTTCGGCAAATGAAGGTGGAAGGGGCTTTTTTAGGGGCCTCCTGCAGGGATACTTACACACGCGCCATTCAATCCGACGAACGTGAATTTATGGGCAATTCATGATCATGATCTTCATCTTCTTGATTCGAAAAACCGACGAAAGGAATCGGATCACTTTTCGAATCACTTTTTCCAACTCATTTTTGAAAGTAGCAGGTCACAACGATCGCAGCAACGTCCACCGCAACAGCCTGTATAGACATCTACAGATTTTACCTCTATGCACTTGCTGAGACTGTCTTCTACTTGTTGAAAATGTGTTCACTCTCGTGGTACGCCAATAGCCACCAGCATAAGATCACCAATGTTTCAATAGACTTCATTTGCGATTGAAGGATCCCCCACAACGCCTGCGGTAACACGACTGTGACGATTTCTGTGAGACCGGAAGGCGCGACATTTACGATGGCTGCAGTGATGATGCGAGTAAGCCCATTCACCAAGAGAGACAAAACGCCAGCGAGGATGCCGTCGAAATTAGAAGAACTCCATGCTGCTTCACATGCGGTAGGTACGGCTATACTTTTAGTTGGCATAATCTATCATCGAAGCGAAAGGTAGAGCACTCACTTCTTCAGGACAACTAGTGACTGGCGAGACAAACTACAGCACTAGGAGAAGGTAGAGAATCGTCTAGGACCTATAGGGTTAAGGAATAGAAAAGCCCTCTCGCGTATTTTCCAGTGAATCAGTTATGTATATGCAGTCTCAGACAGCAGACTAGTGAAACAAGAACAAAAGCGAGGCCTAGATCAGTCGACGTTGCACTTCTCTGTGACGAAAAAAAGCGCACTATTGAGCAACTACTATCAACAAGAACAAGAACTAGCACTGTGCTCTTACAACTTTTCAAAATTTGATTGAAGTGTGAAGAGTGCGAACTATTTACGCAAGGCACGTATTTACGTAAGGAAGAAGAAGTGTTCGAGAGTCTCCAGCGAGTTTGCCACCACTTCGAGCAGCTTTTCCTTGCAGCTCGCGATAAAGTCCCCAAGCGATTCGGGATTAGTCCACGGCCCCATAAGCTCCCTCTCCAGACTGTCCTTGAGTTCCGAAAAAGTAGAACCGAAGATCGATTTACGCTGCACATCGAGAAACGCGGTTGCCGGCATCGGATCATTGGTGCTGCTCCCTCTGCATGAAAGCAACTACCAGGGGAGGCGAACCAGGTTCCGGGGGTCTTCATGGGTTCCGGGGGATGAAGATCTTCACGATCAAAAACAACTGTTGTTAGCAACAAATAAAATCTACTTACTTCGAAGTGCTTATATATAAGTGTCGTGACGCTGTATCTTATATACAACCCGGTGGGCGCGGATCTAGAAACAGCATAGCTGCTGAAAACTCTTTCGGCCAAACGACGCAAAAACTTACCACATCTTCCCGTTCTTCACGCCTTGTATTTCATGTACCAAATTCGTCTTTTCGCTAAGTAGTTACTCTGCTCCTGGTCAAACACAACTACTCCCATACAAAGTTACGCAATCCCCAAACTGGTGGTGGTGTGAATCTGAATGCTCAAAAACGTGTCTGGGCTTTGCGAAAGCACGGGGCGAAGGAAATCAAATTCAAATGACTGAGTCATCTTCATAAAAACGAGGAAAAGCTGTCGTGTCCAGCCAGTGAGGACGCTGTCGGAACAAGAGCACGGCTCGACGCCATGACGAGAGCACGACTCGTCGCTTCTGTAGAGCCACGAATTGATTTTGTAGAATCGGAAGACGCGCTGCTTGTAGTTCGTGGGCCACCAGAAGTCGAGGTTCTTCTACTTGTCATCACCTTCTCCACTCCACCCATGACATTCAAGGAGGAGGATACCTCTCCTGCATATCGCATCGCCGTGGTTCCATTCATGCCACGCTGCAGTGTTGACCCGTCAGAAATGGAAGCCGCGCGACGTGGTGTTGACCAAGTTTGCCCTTCGTCCGGTTTGGTCGGAAGCGATACCCGACGTCGCAGGCCATTTCTCGCCTCCTCTGTGTTGGCGCCAGATTTCTTAGAGCGGCCAGTAGTACAAAAGTCGCATCGCCGTAAGTGTCCCTGCCTGGCGCCTTTTCCAGTTGTTTACTTCTAAAAAAAAAGTCCTCTGGAAAATAGCCAGGCACAGCCCTCGTGAGGATGCATCTCATCTGACAAACGAACTCTTAACAGCTGTGTTAAATCAATAAGTAGTCGGAAAGCTATTCCGCCGTCGTGTCACAGAGAGGCAGGCAAATGATGTCCAAGGCGTTTCGAATGAAGACGATGGAGGCGCAAATGAATCACCCGCGTCCCACCACCTCCACCAAGAAACATCAGCGGTCATTGCTTCATGATCATCAGAAGTACGATCTCTATCGGGTTCAGCAACCAAAGAATATTAAGAGAAATAAAATTCAGCAAACGCTTCCCCTCCGAAGCCTCAACCTCCAACACCCAAACCCACAACCTCCGACACAAAAACCAACAAACCCCAAACCCATGAGCCCAGGAATGAAACCAAGAAACCAAGAAACCACGAAAAGAAACCATGAAACCACGAAGCCATGAACTTAAGAAAAACTCGAGGCCAAGAAGTTGAATCTCAGAGAAAGCGCCTAAAGTCAAAAGCTTTGGGGCTTTAGCACCACTTCATCAAACTCACAGAATTGAATCCCGAAACGGCGAAAAAACGCGCAAAATTTTCGGAATTTGAAAAACCGAAATCCAGGACATTGAATTCCAGAGAAAGCGCTTAAAGTCAAAACTTTTGGGATTTTAGCACTTCAAACTCACACAATTCAATCCCAAAACGACGAAAAAACATAAAAAATTTTGGAAATTTGAGAAATGCGAGACCAGGAGACTAAAACTCAGCGAAAGTGCTTAAAGTCAAAAACTTTGGGACTTTAGCACTTCAAACTCAAGGAATTCAATCCCAAAACTACAGAAAAACGTGGAAAATTTTCGAAACTTGAAAAATTCGAGTCCAAGAAATTGAATGCCAGGGAACGAAAGGGCCTAAAATCAAAAATTTTGGGACTTTAGCACTTCAAGCCCACGGAACCCAACCCCAAAACGAGGAAAAAACGCGGAAAATTTTCGAAATTTGAAAAATTCGAGCCCAAGAGATTAAACCCCAGCGAAAGTGCTTAAAGTCAAAGGCCTTGGGGTTTTAGCGCTTCAAACTCGCGGAATTCAATCCCAAAACGACGCAAAAACGTGGAAAATGTTCGAAATTTGAAAAATTCGAGCCCAGGGAGTTGAATCCCCGCCAGAGTGTTTAAAGTCGAAAGCCTTGGGGCTTTATTAGCGCCTCAGACCCACGGAATCCAATCCCAAAACGACGAAAAAACGCGGAAAATTTTCGGAATTTGAATGAATTTCGCAGAAAGTGCCGAAAGTCGAAAACTTTGGGGCTTTAGCCCTTCAAGCCCAGCGAAGTCAATCCCAAGACGGCGAAAAAACGCGGAAAATTTTCGGCCATGAGATGAAGAAAGAGGAGAGACAAGACGAGCAAAACCCACGCAGGCAGGCCGTGCTTAGTTTCTTATTTTCGGGAGGAGAGGGATCCTAGTGGGAGGGGTGTCATGTTATCGGGCGCCCATAGCTAGTACTTAAGTCAACACTTTTGTTGTGTCGAGACCTTCATATGTATAACTAGTACAGCAGGAACACATATTAATACTCACTCACTCATTCTTGATGAACCTCGTGACAACTTATGAATCCTGCCTGATTCAGTTTCAGTATGTAGCGACGCGAGTAAAAGTACTAATGGGCACATCATATAATACTTATTTGTGGGGTCAGGCGACCTTATCCTTGATGAGACACGGGCTGTAAAAGATGGTACCGGAAGATCCGGACGCACTTGAACTCTCCGGAGAGCTTCGCACATTAGAGATCGCAGCATTACATTCCCCAGAACATCCTTAGCTTTTCCCTACCAGGAAAGAGGTCAAGGATGGTAGTGGAATATGCAATTTGGAAACCCTTAAGTGCAAAAAACGAAGAGGAGCCATGGCCACCAGAAGAGGGATGCTTGCCGTTCCCAGCCGGGTTGTCTTCGTCGCCATGCCGGTCAAAGTGGTTCTTGATCTCGTCCCAGAGCTCATTGACCCTAGCCGGTGCGAAAACAAGGCTGCCTAGGAAGTCCTGCGCCATTACCATTTTGTCCAGCACTGAGAAGAGCAAGGGCACGATCTTTGCTCCGAGGTGAGCCATGTCCACGACGGATTCCAACAGCTTTCCGAGAAAAATACTGATCACCGGCCGGGCTGCAGTTAGCGCTGCCACGCCACTAAAAGACTGCAGGAACAGGCCCACCATGTGCCGCGAAAAAACGCCGAGTACGCTGCCCAAAAAACCGTCGAGCAGGACAGACTGAAGATACATGCCCGCTGACTTCAGATAGTTCCCCACTAATATTAGACACTCCGACTTCTTGTCATTTACATGCTGATACACTTTTGCGGACAAGTGCCAGCACGTTGATAGAAGCAGGAGGGAAAATAAGCAATAACTAACAGTATGCAGTACTTACAAGGTCGTTAACTTTAACCAAGAATCAGAGTACTAGTTGACAGGCAATACAGTAATATTCAACCTGTCAGGTTTTCAGAATGTTGAAAAGTTGATAAAAATGAAGGAGGATAAAAAAGGTGATCAGACAAGAAAATGGTCGTCATGGGTGATGATGCAGCAGGTCTTCAGATGAGCTCAATGCCCAAGGAGAAAAACTAACTAATAAAAAAACTATCAAAAATATATGATCATTGATTATTGTTCATGCGCAGTGAGGTGGTTGCTGAGTCTGAACGAAGGTCTGAACGAAGTAAGTAGAGTACATTGTTGGACATGGGATCACAGCGAGCTACGCTGGAATAGTGAAGAAGCCTGGCACAAATATATAATCACAACAACCTGTCGTAAAAATTTTCCCATCCTGGCCAACTTCTCGCAGACTTTTCTGAAAAGCTCCTCAGCAGCTTCTTGGTTAGAAGTGATGTTTTTCAGTATCAGTGTTCACAAATGTCAGTAGAGAACAGACTGCCACGCATCTCTCGGCCAACTGTATCTGTATGTCATGTACCCTCTATGCCGCTATACATGCTCTTCTGATGTTGATTCTGCTTACTATACCCTCATGGACGATTGACGACATGAACTATCAGTCGTGGCGATTTCCTGCTATACTACATACAACGCGCCCGTATTTTTATTGTCCTCGACAGGCATCAAGCCACCGGACGGACCCGTATGCCATCCCGGGACTTTACTTGCTATCCAGTTGCCAAATTTCCGAGCGCGATCTTTGAACCATCCACGCCGCTCCAAGAACGCCTGGACAGGGGTGGTGGGCGGCAGGCCAGGCACCACCACAAGCGCACCTACATCGCCCCTGCGAGCAGCGTTCTCTCTCTTGTCCACGTCGTCGTAGTGGCCTTCCAGCGTCGTCGCCGTAGTCAAGATGCCGTGGTTGACGTTGAAGTCGTGTGCGTGCGCGGCCTGCATGTAGTGGAGCCCAAGGAAGGTGGTCGGGCTGCTGCCCTGCCGCGCTCCCCCGCCCTCTTGCAAATCCTTGAACATGTCGTCCATCAGCTTTCCCGAATTTTCAAGCGTGTCCGACAACTGCTCACTGATTACAGACTTCGCATCGGCTTCACTTCCCGAACTCTCAAGCGTGTCCGACGGCTGCTCACTGATTACAGACTTCGCATCGGCTTCATTTCCCGAGCTTTCAAGCGTGTCCGACAAATGCTCACTGATTACAGGTTCCGCATCGGCTTCATTTCCCGAATTTGCAAGCGTGTCCGAAAACGGCTCACTGTTTACAGACTCCGCATCGGCTTCATGATCACGCTGACAGTCACATGTGCCAGCCTCGGTAGCTGTCCCATCGGCTTCGTGCTCAGGCTGACAGTCACATAAGCCAGCGGCGGCAGCTGTGTCTGACCCTGTTTCTGGCAAGTCAGCTGCCTCTGACCCTGTTTCCGGCAAGCTAGCTGCCTCTGACCCTGTTCCCGGCACGGGAGCTGTCCCTGACCCCGTTCCCGGCACGGTAGCTGTCCCTGACCCTGTTCCCGGCAAGAGGCTTTCAGCACCGCTTCCCTGCTTAAGCGTGTGCCCCATCGCCGTGTTAAAAACATTCTGCGCAACCTGTTGAAGGGTGGGGAGCAGCGGCTAATGCTGGCTAGCTGCGGCCACACTCTGCACCGGGAGGGGGGGCAACTACCCGCCATACGGTTTCGTTTTCCGTTTATCGAAAAAAATTGATAAGAACCACGAAAGAGGCCACCGCAGTAAAGTGACGCCAACAAAACAAAGTGGAGCAAAATTTAGAGGCACTAATTGAAAAAAGGTTGGGCTGGAGGAATGGTAGCATAAAGGTACCGAAAAAGGCACAAAAGAAGTGGATGCGTGTTGCGGTGGTCATTCTGAAATGACAAGGCGCATCGGAATCAATAGCAAGCCGTGAAAGATGACGCCGTCAGTGCTAATTGAGGCCGTAATTGAGGCCGCCAAGTGGTCCAGAATGATCCACTTTCCGCGCCCGCGGCAGCTAAATGGAACTGAATTGCTATTCCCCTCACAGGCGGGGCCACCCTGTGAACGGAACGAAACCACCCAGAAAAAAGGAGGGGCCGATCACCGCCTGGGGATGAAGTGCGAAAGCAGTGAGACCATGCGGCAGCCAGGGTAGGGAGTGCGCCAACGGTGGCGGAAGATAGCGCAAGAAGAAAGACAAGAGGACAGGAGCAGCGCCGCGAAGGCGAACGAAGCTCGTCTGAGTACGGACACCGTTAAGCACACGTGGCGGCGTAAGCATTTAGCCACGAGGACTAGCACCGCCGCAGCCACCATCTCGAGCGAACGACCCGACAGGCAGCTGCACAATTCCATGCCCACTGCAAGTACAACGCCAGAGGGGGCCGACCACCGACGGAGCGCCCAACGCACGCCAGCAAGGGGCGGCCCCCCCGCTAAAAATGCACCACAGACCCGACCGCAATGAGGCGACACGCATTCAGGTGAGAACTCCACGCAGCAAGCCACGCAGCAAGACGACATCACCGCGAACCACCAGAAGATCCCGAAGAAGCACTCCCGGCAAAATGAAGCGCCTAGCGATCGAGCGAGACAAGAACATCAAAAGGCAACGGCGGCGGCCCCGCTTCAATCAGCCCTCAGGCACAAAGCTACAAGAAACAAATGCCGGGGGCCAAAAAATGCGCAGAAAACCCTCACGGGCGCTTGAACAGCTTCCGCCCCATTGTGGGCTGCGGCAGCTTTGTCCCGCTTTGTCAGTCTTTTTAATGCCTCTTCCCTCGAAGGCTACTCCTGCTACAGGCCTGCAGCATGTTTTGCTGAAGCTGCGCACGCGCGGCGGGCTCCCTTCCGTCGGGTTCGCCGCGGAAGTTTCACGTCGATTGCGGTTTCACCGCTGAAATATAGTAAAGCATACGCGATGTGACACATCCCAAACGCAGGCCAGGGCTAGTGGCCCGGAGCAACTTAAGGAGCAAATACCTGCTTCAGTCCTCTCATGCCCTTCGCCCCTGCGTTTCTTATGGCGTCCAGGGTCTCGTTGCTAAGCGCTTTCTTCACGTTCGCATCGCCAAGTAGTTTAAAGAAAGCACTCAGAAGCAAATCCGGAAGGCCGTTTTTTGCCAGCTTGATTTCGTGTCTCGTCTTAGCGAGAAAGGACGAAGCATGGACTCCATTCGCCACAGAACCTGCGTAGGTGCATTGATTGTGGCACAGCGTTAATTGTGGAGGAAAAGGCATTGCCTAAGCCGTAGCCCTGATCTTCAATAAAAATGGTCTTCGAGGCAGGCCCAGATCGGCCAAGTGACCAAGAGGCCCTTTGCTCGGGCTCGCCGCGTCCGTCGTTTGTTTTCATAAGGCAGCTGCAAACACCCGGCGCCCCACCTCCTTAAGAAAATTGAATACAGCAAGAAAGGCCAGCCCCGGTGACAATTAGGCGTGCCTCACGTACTAGAGCAGCTAAGCATCTATAGGCATATTAAACCAATGAATGCCCGCTGCTCTTCGGGAAAATGCGAGGCGCTGAACCAGCAACGGCCGCCCGCCCTGCTTCCTTGTGGTGGTTTCTCCCCCAGTGGTACACCCAACGGAAGCGCGGGCGGCTGGCCCTAGTTTTCAGGCTTTGCGACACCATTGGGTGCGTTCCGCCAATGCAAAAAGTGTCCGCAAACTATCCCAACCCAAGAACAAACAACAACGAAGGGGGCCCAGCATCTTCGCACCGCACAGCAGAAGAGAACGAGACCGGAGCCAGCAAACTTCTCAATCTTACAAGCTACCATGCATTCAACCAACGCAGAGAGCCTAGCGCGCAACCTGAAGCCACACGTGAGAAAGGGGGACGCAAGACTACCCAGGCGAAGCACGGTCAGCGACGACGCCCTCACGGGTGTCAGCCTCGTGCGCTAGACGTTGCTTGCGTGTCTTGCTCTTGTCCTAGAAGAAGTTACCTCAAGAGCCGAGTGGCCCAGGCTATCTTCCTAGGATGGATCTGCCTCTGCCGAGTTCATTTTTCGCGTCAACGATTTCAAGACGGTGAAAAACCTAAAAGCAGGCTGTATCATGGTAGAGTAACATCGCACACACAAAAGGCCGCAGCACAAGACGCCCCTCCTTGCTGATTCAAGCGGCGCCATGCGGGCCTCTTCTGGTAGGCTATGAGTATGGGCATCGCGTGTGCATTCGCGCTATTCGGCCTCCGAAGTCATATTAGCTCGCACCCAAGCAACGAGAGAACCACACGATGCCCCACAAGCCCGACGATGGAAACCAATTGTGGGCGGCTCCCTAGCCGCTGGGGCGTCAGTGCGTTCGCCCGGACGTAGTCTTTATATATTTCCATCGCATAGGCAGGCCCCCCATGGTGGCAGCGGCTACGCCTTCCTTCTTCATATATACAAACTGGAGACTTAACCCCCGGGGATCCTAAATCTACTGGTGAGTTATACTTTTTAGTGCTGTGGCAGCACGGTAGGCTGGCTCGGCAGACCCAGGTCTTTGCCGGCGCCGGTCGTTGCACCTACGGCCCATAAATTTGCCACGGAGCGTGGCGGGAGGCCTTTACCTCCCCAGAGAGAGTTGCACACCAACGTCCGGGTGTCGTAACCCCTCTCGCGGCTCGGCCGGTGTTCGTGCACCGTCGCCCTACGAGTCAATCAACCGGCACCCGCGAGGTTTCGGGTGCTCGCTCTTCGCGTCGGACGCTTTGGTCCGGGGCGCTTTGGCCCGGGTGCGCGGCTAATCCCTCGGCAGTAGCAGGCGTTGTCCCCCCGCTGGGGGACAAGGTCACTTTGAACCTCCAGCCCTTTGGGCCATCCTTTCTCGACGCCTCCTTGGTGCGCCTTCCATCCTTTTCCCGACGACTGGAGGTTCAGAACCGCCAGGTGCGTACGTTTTTTGTACCCGGTACTGCTTTGAGTGCCCCTGAGCCGCTGCTACTGGCGCTCTTTGGCGCTAGGGCCGTCACCTTTTTGGTAACGGTATTCTGTTGAATCCGCCCTTTCTTCTGTAGCTTCTGCTTGGGGGTGATCTTGATCGTCCGCTTGACCAAGGTGTCCTCTTGGACCGCCTTGGGCTGCACGAAGACGCGCGGGGGTGGACCCCCCCCCGAGGGCCACCGCCTGCGCAATCCGTGCAGCGGGATGAATTCCGAAGCCTCCCACGTTTTGTGGTCGGCTGTGTACTCGTCCCACATTTTGCTGGACTGTTCCCAGCCCATGTGGGTGAGGAATTCATCCTCCTTCACGGAGATTTTCCCTTGCTCCCACTCGCGTCGCGTTGCCAATGCGAGTCCTCTCCTGCAGCTGTGCAGCGTGCCGCTAATTCCCTTCGCCAAGCTACTTATCCTGGCCTTGCCTAATGGGAAATCAGATCTCATAACAGCGCCTTCGCCGTGCATCGGGCAAAAGCGACTTCGTGCACCAGCTGTTTTTGCGTTGGTGTCGCAATTGCAGTGGATTTCTATTATCCTACCGCGTTGTTTGCGGATTTTGTCTTCGGATATGTGGATGCGCCACACGTCTCCTTTTTTGGAGATGTCCGTGTCGTCCACCGCCGCGATGCTGTCGCCCCGCAATCCCGATAGCGCCCAAAGGAGGACCATTTTTTGGTCTTTTGCCTTTAGCGCCTCGAGCTTCGTACCCGGTAGGAAAGGCTTTGCTTTCCTCGGGTTGTGGTCTTGGATTGTTCGTTCAATTGCCTTTTCCACGTCCCCGATGTTTCGGAGAATGGCGGGGCTTTCGACTAGCCGCTGCGGGCCATCCGCGGGTGGCGGTTCTACCAGCCACATGATGATGCTGGATGTGTACTGCGCGACTGAGGTGTATTCATTGAACACTAGGAAGGCGGCGAATCTTTGCACCGCCTCCGGCCTCACGGGTAGCTTTTCACC